CCTACATCTACTATAAAGCTACTAGCTTGTGCAATTGTTATTAGTATTAAATCCGATGCTCCATAAAGCATCTAGCAGAAGCAGGCATTCAACAAGGAGCATCCGCTGTTGTTCTCTCTGTCTCTGTTAAACATCCCACTGTGTTAATGTTGTGTCTGTCTTTCCCAGTAGACTATGAGCTGCTTACAAAAGGGATTATGAGTTAATGGTCTTCGTATTTCGAATTCCTACTACGGTATCTGACACAAAGTGGATTCTTATTAATTGTGGAAATAATAAGAGTCATGAAAAACATACATTTAGATAATAATGATGGCTTAATATTAACTGAGTACTTCCTTTATGCTCCGATTCTGTGCTAGGAGCATTTCATGGATCATCTTATTTCATTCCCATAACTATTCTTTGTTTGTGGGAATGAACAGCCCATGCAAATGAGGAGGATATAGAAACCTGCCCAAGTTCATAGGGCTAGTAAATGGCAGAGCCCAGGCCTCAGCCAGACTGGACTCCAAGCTACCCGCTGAGTGGAGAACAGCTCTTGCTCTGTATTAGCCGAGGAAAATTCCACCGACCAATAGGAGTTTCAGAAGCTGTCTGAGTACTAAAAAGGCAGAGAATTCGGGAGAGGGGGTGAGAGCATTCCAGGGACAGGCAGCGGCTTCAGAGCCAGCTCTGATGTGAGACAGAAGGTGGGATGGGGGTTTGGAAGGGGGTGAGTCTGAGGGATGGGCCGGATGGAGCTGGCTGAGCACACACTGGGAAAACTGGGGCCTGTGCAGGTGAGCACAGAGGAAGAAAGAAGAGTCTCTGTATGGGGTTCTCTCCGTTGGAAGGGGCAGAGCTGGGGCCCAGAAGCCCAGAGACGAGGGGTGCAGCAGCTGAGGCTACGGATGGCATGGGGTAGAGTAGGAAGTCCTTCTGGGGCAGGATGAAGGCTTCAGGCTCCGGGCACTGCAATTCTGGGAGGGAACTGAAAGAAAAGCCACTGGATCTGGCAGCAGATTGCAGGCAGGCAGCGTTAGTTGCTCTTTAACATCAAGAGAAACAAACGTAGCAATAATGACTCCACTTGGTGTAGTGGTGAAGAGGGAACCAGACCACCCTGGGTCCCCGGCAGGCTTGCAGCTGTGTGACCTTAGCAAAGTGATTTGAACCTCTTTGGGTCCCTGTCTCTCTTCTGTAAAGTGGGGATGGTTTCTGTCTCCTAGGGGTATTGTGATTGCAAAACGATGGTGTATTTCGTTGGCTTTTTCTTCATATTTTCTACTGGACTCATGCTCCTTAAACATTATACAGAACTTGCTGCATTGGGAGAATTTATTTTTATTCTGGGAGAATTCTCCCCAAACTGGGTCCCAGGTCCTTAATTTTAGTGGGCAACAGGCAATGGGGGATACCCTGTTGACCCCTCCAGGTTAACAGATCTGACATCAAACACATACCCAACTCCCAACTTCCCAGCTCCCATTCCCTGATTTCAAAAGGCAACACAGGTTTTGCAATCCTCCAGGCTCAAAACCTTCCACCCAATTTAAACTATTCTCTCCCCCCATCCCCCATATCAAATTTATAATCAGGTCTTATTCCTTCTTTCACTGTAATGCCTTTTAGATTCATTTCTTCTCGGTTTCCACTTTTCCTTCCTCATCCCTATTTTTTTTTTTCTTTCAGCGATCCTCTGATGACCTCTGTGTCTCTTCTTTCAACCCAGTGCCAAATTAATGACCAACGGATTATTTCGGATACCACTTACGTGGCTTATCTCCCTTTGTCAAGAACTCTCAATAGTTCTCCTGTGAGGGTTAGAGCGAGTTCAAATTCCTAGGTTTGGTATTAAACTTACTTGGAAGTGGAATTCGGGAATTCCTTTCCCGAATTCTCCACTGGGGGATGGCACCTTGAATCCACCCACAGCTCAGCCCTCCAGCTTCTAGAAAGTTCCTCCTGCAGCCCCCTGGTGAAATTCTATGCCTTCCGGAAGACCTGGTTTGATTTCCATATCCCCAAAGATGCTATCCTTGACCAGTTATTCCATTCCCGATGTCCTTTATCACTTGGGGGCTCCACCCCGCCTAACACTGTTATACACTCATGACTTTGGGGGTTGGACCCGACTTCTGGCCGAAGTTCCCATTACCAAGCATAGGATCCCACACTCAATAAAGCTGAAAGAATGGAGGGATGAGTAAATGGCCATGCTCCTGGCCCGATCCCTTCTTGCTGATCCTCAGCACCTACTCCCTCCTCTTCCTACCAGTCTGACCAAGTCCGACCTCCGGACGCCACCAAGCAGCGTTGGGGTGGACTGTGTCCCCGAATCCAGGGCATTTCCGCGTCGCCCGATCTCCACGACTTAGCCCTGGGCCGAGGATAATGGTGCAGAGCCCGGCCCTCTGCTCTTACTCCCGGAGGGGCCGTTCGGTGGGAACTGGGCTGGTTTCGGGAATCGCGGCCACCAGCGCCCATCACCCCGCGGGGAAGGAGGGCTACCCGGGCAGAACGGCTGGGGGATTAGGTGTCGCCCCTCGCCCTCCCCCTCGCGGCCATTGGGCAGCCTCCGCGGCGTGCCCTGTGGACGGGGCGGGGCCCTCCCCATCTTCCCTCGGTTCCCCTCCCGTTTCCCGGGGTGGGAACCTCGGGAGGCGGGAGACGCGGAGGGGCTGCCGAGGGGCGTCCGGTTACATCTCCGCCTTCCTCAGCCTCCGGTCGCAGAGCCCCTCGGTTTGCGGGACGGCAGGCCGGGAACATGTTGGCCGCGGTCCGCCTGAGCGGAGCTGCGTGGACGCGGGCGCTGCTGCTGCAGCTGCTGCTGGCGGGGCCCGGGGGCTGCCTGAGCCGCCAGCCTAACACGTACTCCCTTCGGCCCCGGGCAGGGGGACCTGGAGCTGGAGGCCGGGGACGACCGCGTCTCCCCAGCCCTGGAGCTGAGCACTGCACTCCGCTTCTTCGACAAATCCGACCTCAACTCGGTCTACGTGAGTGCGACCCCGGGCGGGAGATGGGGGCAGTTGTCTGGGAGGGCGCGGGGGGCTGACGCGGCGTCGGAAGGAAGGCCCGGGCGGGCCGGGGGCGCCCGCGGAGCCGGACGGACGTG